TAAGTTACCCATTACACATGTCCTCTTTTTTAAAAGTGAAACCTTTTTTTTTTTTTTTGGCTGTGTATTGCCAAGTCATCGTGAGAGTGGACCCTAGTCCTGAAAGTTGTCCTACCTTTCATTTGTTCTGACTCAGAGGAGATTTTACCGGGGTCAGATATTCATCATGAAAAACTTCCGCACTGACACATGCACTCGCATGCACGCGCACGCACACACACACACACACACACACACACACACACACACACACACACACACACACATGTACACACACAACACACACACACATGTACACACACACATGCATACACACTCACACACACACGAACACACACATATGCACTCACACAAACATAAACAAACTTTTTAAGTTACCCACAGTACTATCACCAAAGATAGTACATAACAAGATGGTCCACTCAGCCAAAAAAGTGTCCGCTGGAAGTCCGCTCTTTTCTTCAGGTGGCGCTGCAGTCTATTTTGAAGCTCTCTTTCGTTTCTCCAGAAGAAGAATAGGAACAGCACCTCCTTGCGTTCGCAGATCGACTGCTGTTCATTAGCTGTTCGGGTTCGTTCACTGCGGAGTTTTAGTTTTTAAAAATTTTAATGACCTCTCGCCTCTCATTCTAAAGTCAAATTAAACGAAGAAAACAGTCGTCCCTTCCTCCGGAAAAGGTTTTTTTTTGTCAACGTAACCATTTTTTTAAAGCGTTCTTCGGAAATTAGAATTCTTATTTATTCAAAAAGTTGTTAGTTTCACTTTGATTTTTTAAACACAAGTAAGGCAGCTCTGTTCGCAAAGGGTGCGCATTTGCAAAGAGGGCGCCACCGAATTTAGAGGACACTTTTTTAATTGGCTCGAAGAGAGGAGTGGACCCTCTTGTTACGTAGACTCTTTGCTATCACCCTGTTTTAAAAAGTGAGTCTTTTTGGCTCTGTATTGCCTAGTCATCGTGCGAGTGGATCCCGGTCTGAAAAGTTTGTCCAACATCTTGTTTGCTGTGACTCAGAGCAGAGATTACTGGGGTCCAATATTAATCATTAAAAATTTCCAGACTAACACATTCACACCCGCGGGCCCGCTCACACATACACACACACACACATACCCACACACAAGAACACACACACACACACACAAACAAACAAACACAAACGAACAAACAAACACACACACACACACACACACACACACACACACACACACACACGGACACACATACAAAAACGCGCACAAAAACGAACAAACATACCCACACACAAGAACACACA